TGCAGTGCAGGAAAAGCCCAAATGTTACTAAGAGCAAAGGGCTGAATTTACATGCTGAATAAATTGTCAGGCTTAGCACTGGTGACACAGATAATGCAGAACAGACCAACAATAGAAAGCATTGTAATTTTTATTTCCTGACATGTGTAACATGATTTATGTTTTATGCTGTAAGCAGCTGTGGGACAAAGGCCTCTCTGTGACACTGCACCTTACTGGACGCTCCCTTCATATGCATTGTGCCTCTTTTTCCTCATTTTCCCATTATTTATTGATTTTTTTTTCCTCTCTTCTTTGTATTAGTCTCCATAACTACAGCCCACTGTAACAAAAATTAGAAGCCAATCCACCGAGTTAATACCATTTGCAACTTTGTGTAGATCCTCTTCCCATAAGGTTTGGATCTCTTATGTTTGTGAGCATTTCTCAGCCTTGCTGGTGTCCAGACTCCCCAGTTTCACCAACCTTGTCTGCCATCCTAGGCCAGGGTCGCTTGACGTGTTTCCTGCCTCCTCCCTTGTGCTCTTATTTTCAGTGCAGTAAGGTGCCGTTTCCGTACGACATCAATTTGCTTGTCCTCACTTGTTCTAAATCCATGCTGGTGGGAGCTGCAGCACTCGCTTGAGGTCCTGGAGGGTGTTGATCCAGTGGGGTAGGGCTGGAGCTCTTCTAAAAACAAGCTGGGTGGTGGCAACAGGCCAGGGGCCAGCACCTGCTGTTTCCCACTCCCTTGTCAGTGTGCCCCTGGGCTTGGCTCGAGCGCTCACCCAAACCTGTGCTCAGATACCAGGGGTAGGGAACAGCCGCTCTGTGTTTCAGGGAGAACATCCCTCAGGGTTGTGCAGCTAACAAATGCTCCTTTTTCATCAAAGACGATGGAGGAGGTGAGAGGGGGGGTAAGAAAAAAAAACCACAATATTACAGTCTCTCAATATTACGGTCTTATCAATGCCAGCTCGTGGCTTGGCAGCCTGTTTCTCTCCAGGTGCCCTGGGCGTTTTCCTTCCTAGTGTTGAGGAGGGGTTGCCTAGCTAGTGCTTCCAAGAGCCTCCTGACAGGTTTATACAGCTTCAGTTCAGATTAGAAGAAGTTCCTTTCAGGTTGTTTTTCCTCAGCCCCTGCTTCCTGGACTCTCTTCCATGGAGATCTCAAAAGGCAGAGAACTTCTCCCTGAATTGCTTCTTGAGCAAAAGGTTGCAGGGAGAAGTGTGTGGAAGAATATAACAGCAAGGGCCAGATTGGAGGTGCACCTCCTTGGAGACTGTTTTTGCTTGCTTCTGAGGGAATAACAAGTAGTGATTCTAAAGAAACTGAATTCCAGCTGTTACCAGCCCAGAGAAATATCTTTTCTGTAGTTGGCTTCCTCCTTTGAAGCGAACAAACCATTTAGGTTCCCTCGTGTTGAGTCTGGGCTCCTGGCCATGCATCCAGTGTAGGCATGGCTGTCTCTTCCTCGTATACCTTCCACAGCTTAGCTCACTTCTGCATCCCTTGGGCTTTGCAGCTTCTGGGAGCCCCGTGGGGTGAGACTTGCACGCCTGGCACCATGTGGGGAGAGGGGAAAGGGACAGTAGCTTCTGCTCCATGACATGACAGCCTGCCTGGTGGGCCTCCTGGGGACCGAGGCCTTGTTTGGGGGCCTTAAACCTTCCCTTTCCTGTTGCTACAGCAGAGCGGAGGCACCTCCTATGCTTTGGGACCCCCATGGGCACAGCTGTGCTGGCAGATCACAGCTCAGGCTGGCTCCTGGGCCCTCGCTGAGCACAGCACAGAGTGCAGGGGAGGATTTCTCACCCCGAACACAGGCTGGTACAGGGCAGTCGGCACAGTGGCTGGCTGATGTGAGCCGAAGGTTTTGCTTTTCACGCCTGCCCAGAATGATTGAAGAGTAGGCGAATTGGAGGAGAGGGGGCAGATGGCAGTCACAGCAGGGCTGACAGGGGACGTGGCTGAGTGCTGCAAGGAGGAAAAGTAAATGCTCTCAAACAGAACCAGCTGCTGAGCTGTGCTGGGCTTTGCGAGGCCACTCGTTTACAAAGCAGCCTTCGTCTGTCCCAAGTTTGCACTCATGAAAGTCTTTGTGGCTGGTCAAAGCGCCGTCAGTGTTAGTATGAACAAATGTTTTACCAGAATGGTTGTGCTAGGAGTGCTCCTTCAGCCATTCTGGAAAGTCGCGTTTTTAATTATTCATACAATAGATTAATCTGGCACTCACAGGTGGCCCTGGATAACTGGCAGGCAAGAAAGCTGAATGGTGTGCTGCTGATTTATGCAGCGTAGGCCATCAGTCAGGGACTGGAAACACCATCAGGTGACCATTCAGAGAAACAATGGAGCAAAATCTCTCCAATTTTAAACGTCTGCATTTCAACTCCAAACCTTTCATTTAATCTCTTTTTTCATACGCTCTGCCCACTCCTACCCTTGTTCACTAGTCATTAGAATTCCTTGTATAGTTCTTTTCTTCGTCTAATGGAGACTTCTTGGACGAAAGTGTATGTGGGGAGAAGAGGAGAAACAATGAAGAAAGAGTGGGAATATTACTGTTTATGATGGCAAAAGAGGTGCATAATTAAATTTCTGGCTGCAGAGATTTCATGCTTTACATAAAAGTTCCTGAGAGCTGAAGAATTCAGTTATTGTTTCATGTGAAGGTTTTTTGTGTGTTATTTTTTTCCTCCATGCTGAGTCACGGGACATTTTCTTCTCCCATTGTCCTAGGCAGTGGTCCAGAACATGCATCAGTATGTGGCAGGGAAGTCTGTAGGGCAGCTTAGAGGATTAAGTCTCTTGGAACAAACTTCAGTCTTCCTGATGTGATTGGGAGTTTAAAGGGTCTCATTCGAGCATCACTGAAGTTAGCAGAACTATTTCCAATGTTACCAAAAGACTTTGGGTTTTGCCATTAAATCCATCTGTGCAATTTTCTTGGTGGCCCCAAGTATGCCTGTGAGGGGGGTTCCCCTATTTCAGTTAGTAGTTTCCAGGCTCATAGTTGACTAAGCAATCAGCAGTACTGTAATGCTTGCTAAGTGCAGCGAAGGATTGACAAAATACATGTTGGTCATTGGGCTGACTGGTCTGAAGCTTCAGAAATTTGAAGACTATTGGACTGCGTCTAATGTGAAGTGCTGTGGCCTCAGGGAGATGCACAAGCGAGGAAAAGACCCAAGCAGTGGAGCTTCTTCGCTCTTAGACTTTTCAGCCTTTCTTTATACTTACATTAACAGTGAAGACCTCCTTATGTTTGATATCATCTAATAAATACCAACTTGTCTGTTTATGTAGCTATTAGTTAATGTCATCACCTGAATGCCTGCAAGGGATGTAACAAGGAGCCCCCTTGACAGGCTAGTATATCAAGTAGATTTTGTTCATAAATAATGTATGAACACAGTGCTGCACAAGGAAATGTTCTGGTCTGCTGTTCCGTTTTTTTGGTTTCCTTACAGGTGACGCCTTTTAGATGTTAAAGAACTGTGAGGTGCTGTAGCCTGACAAAGCTGAGTCTTAAGAGAGTGCATTTCAGTTACAACTGCAGTACTTGTACCTAAAACGGTTGGATTCCAAACAAAAAAAAAAAAAATCAAACAACAAAAAAAAAACAAAAAAGATTTTCTCCAGACAGAATAATTCCATCCCAGAAAGTTGGTTGTCTTGTCACAGAAGTTTCTAAAAGTAGGATTTTTTTGGTAGCAGTCTGGTTATTGATTAAAGGTCACGCTGATCATGGCTGACAGGAGCTGCAGACTGCCTTGTACGCACACGAGATGTTCTTGTAGGCTCTGTATCTTTCAAGCCTTACTTAGAGCTTTTACCCGTATCTCTCTAACCTTGATCTTTTCAGATACGTACAGTCTACAGTTCTTAGTCTTTTTCTGCATGAAGGGTGAGTGATGTTAACGAGAGTTTAAGGTTAGAAATGAGGAACATTGCTCTGACATAAAAGAATTATTTTTGGTTAAAAATTCTCATTCACTCTGATTTTAAAGAATCTTTATATTTTTATTAGACTTAGGTCTGCATTGTCAGTTGGAAAGGAAGGTTGAGGGGAGCACTCTGTACTGCAATAGAAGACACCATTTTGGAGGTTGATGCCAAGACACAAATGCCACAACATTCACAAATGCTTCTCTTCCCATTAGAATATGCAGTATAAAATGAGGGTGGTGAGGCCCTGGCACAAGCTGCCCAGAGAAGCTGTGGATGCCCCATCCCTGGAAGCTTTCAAGGCCAGGCTGGATGGGGCTTTGGGCAGCCTGGGCTGGTGGGAAGTGTCCCTGCCCATGGTAGGGGAGTGGAATTAGATGGGCTTTAAGGTCCCTTCCAACCCGAACCATACTAGGATTCTGTGATTCTAAAATGCATCTCTAAGGGAACTGTGTCTTTGCAAAATGATACCAAATGTAGCTAGTGCGTGCAGCACCAGCTGGTAAGGTAGTACAGCATTTCAGATCAAATTTGGGTTCTGAATTTGATGCCTCATTGTGGTGGCAGAACTGCAAGCGATAGCTGAACTCAGCTTACAGTGAAGAACTTGCATGTTTTGTAAAGTTTTAAAAAGTAAAATTTTGCTAGGATTTAAAAGCATTGTACAAAAAAACCTAGATAGCCTTTATTTAAAGGAAAATACCTGTTAGACCTCTCGATGTACTGCCAGGATGGTATGTAAGGGGTTAGTCCATTGGTATTTGATTGTGTGATTTCTCTGGAGGGAAACAAAAGTAAGATACTGTCCTTCATTAACGTTAAATGACTGAAAATAGCTTAGGGTGGATGCTTAAAACAAGACTAGAACTTTTCAGAAAACTGGGAATTTGTATCAAGGTCTGATAATGTGGCCTTCTATGTTCTCCTTTCTATGAGCACTTACCGTGGTCTCTGAAAGCCTTGTTATGAGTGGCTCTCAGATCTCTAACTGATAGATGTGTAAGGGGATAGCCTTATTGAAGCAGGTATAGCAGAAATGCGTATAATTCTCAACCTGTCATCTTTTGCAGCTGGAAGAAGGAGAAAACTTTGCTAAAATGGTGATAGACCTGGGTGAAGATGCTGGAGAGTCCCTAGCAAAGGGTTACCTGGCACTGGGTCTTTCATACAGTCTTCAAGCTACTGATGGTGAGTTATCCTGTCTGTGGGAAACTTATTAGAACCTGTGCTTTTAGTGATGGCTGGTCATAGAAAATTGCAAGACAAATTGGGACTGTTCTCTTACTCAGAGAACTTTCTTGTGTAGTAACAAAAATTAAGTTTTTAGGTAAAGGAGGAAAATCGTCATTATCTAGAAGATGCTAATCTGACTGTAGTCAATGATTCTTGGTGTGCTTTATTTGGATTTTTGTGATACATTTCTTTCACTTATTTGCACAACAAAAAGTTGAACTTTTGATCTATTTTCATATTTTTATCACCCACTCATAAATCACATAAAGAAATATAATCCAAGAACTGGAGGCAGAAATGCCTGACTTCAGTTCCTGGCGTGATACTGATTCCCCACAGAGATTCAACCTCTCTGTGATGCAGTTTCTTTCTCTGCTTAGAAGTAAACAAGATAAAAATATCTTTCTCATTGGTACTTATAGATGTTGACTAGATACAATGTAAGAATTCAATTTTTTCATGTTGACTGCTTGGGTTTTGTGTGATTAGACACTGTGATTCTGCAGAATCGGTGTTTAGTAGTTTGAAGGGTTGAAAATCCTGGTGTTTAGGAGAGATCTAGATTTGACCTTCTTCATGCTCACAGCTGGGTACAGCTTTGCTTCTTCTATGACTTCTACCAAAGGTAGATCGCCTCCTAACATGATTTCTTTGAATAATGGCTGAGCTAGTTTGTTTCCTAATCAAATCAGCAGTCCACACCATATGCGAGCAATGGCTTTTCTGTCAGATGTGTTCTGGAGTAACAAACTTCTTCCAGCAAATGAGGCTGAAACAAAGCAACAGTGACAGCCTGTATGGTATCATGGAAGTACTATGGTCTTGCAAATTACACCAAAATTTTGTTAGGCATGTGTTTGAGGAAGCAGCTTGTATTATTTCAGCAGTGCAAGTCAATGTATTTTTTCAGGCACATCTAATCAGGTGGTGTGAGAATTGCTTTCCAGCATGGAGGGCAACATGCAGTGTTGCTCCTTTTAGTTCTCCATTTCTCTGATTCTGAATAGCTTCCCTTAGTAAGTTCATATCAAGAAACATATGCCCTTCCTAGCCTGTTTTTTTTTTTGTTGTTTTTTTTTTAAGATCATTAAACATTGAGCTCTACTTAACAGCCTAATTCCTTAGGGCATTTTGCCTAGATTTTGTTTAAACTGTCCCTAAAGCTATACAAGATCCCAGAGACTATTTTCAGAGATAGAAGGGTTTGTGTGCTAACCCCATTACAATCTATTTATTATCCTCAATGGAAAGAAGAAAGTTTCTAAAGAATGGAGTTGTAGAGGCATGTGTTGTGCTCTAAAAATATTTTGGTGCACCAGAACACGAGTTGGAAACTTTTTTTTCTTCTCAAAGAGAGGTCTTCCTTGAGCATTCAAGAGATTAGTTCAGAAGACATAGTATGTGTCCTTTTAAATATTAAATAAACAGTCTTCATAACAGTTGCCTTGGAATTTTGTCCAGATTAGTATCTGATTTTGCTGTGAACCAATGGAATATCTGCCTTCTCTTCCTCATATCTCTAGCCCATAAGTCAACAGGGCCACTCACACAGTCCACAAGGAAAATCTGAAGAGTGTATTTTCATCTTCGGGTTATGTTTTAATAAAATGGATCACATCCTTCAAAGGCCTACTTACGATGATCACAAATATGGAATAGCGTTTTACTAGAAAACATCGAATTTGGACTAATGAGACATTTTTCACTAGTGTTGTTAATAAAAAGCTTATCTCAGTGTGGAAGCAAGAATGGAACATGTTGAAGGGAAGATAGCAACCCTGCTATTAATCCTGCTTCACAGTGTCAGTCATTTATCATTGTGTTTATACCAGTTCACGGTGACATGTGCAGACATGCAAACATCTGTGTCTATGTATGATTTCCATAACTTTCTACTTAAGCTGATTTTCAGCAAATCAGCCTTTTAAATGACAGCTGTTTCAGAAACATTTAACTAATTGCCTTATAAAGCTTACAGCAGTATATCAAGATGCCTTCTAACCAAGGTTAGGCTTTTTCTCCTTAATTTGTCATTTTAGTAAATATTTATTATCCTGTGTGACAAAGGCACTGAGGAGTTGTACTAAGGCCTTTCTTATGTGACTGCTCTTTATCAAGCGCTTTCTGCAGAAATGAGAAGAGCGAATGCCACTGGATGATAATACAAAGTACTTGTGGGAGTATTTGATAGTCAATTTGCAACTATTAGATTTACTCCTGGATGAAGTAAGATTTCCTGAAACATGTGCTGCATAGCAGTATGTAGCTGCCAAGTTCTTAGTATCTAATTGCATCTTTCTTGAAAGAAGGCTCAATGAAGTTGCTGAAAGATGTGTCCTCAGAGGAAGTCACCACCACTTTTGCCTCACTCTTAAAAGCAGAAGTCTCTTGTTCATACAGCAAGTCCATCTATCTAAATTTTTTGTGTCCCAAATGTGTTCCCAATGAGGCAATTTCAACAGCAAACCTTTTTCTTGCTTCTTATAGTTTGTTTTGACATAAGCTGTAGTGTCAACTTTGCTTCCCCTAGGTCTCATGAAGAATTTATTGAAGGCAAGGAAATGTGAGATGAATTTACCACAGGCTAGAGGAAAGACAAGTTGAGCATGCACTCTAAAATACAAGTGCTGCTCTATCTAATGCCACCACTTCATGTCTCATTTCTAAATATTTGTAAGTTAACAGACCCTCACTCTCTTTACTGAGTTGAGAAGGAGAGTGTTCTGCATCTCTGTTTTCATTTAGGATTTCAGTGTAAGGCCACAAATCAGAGACTGAAATGGAAACTTTTCCTAGCAGTCCTTGTGGGTTGTATAAATAATCAGCATACTGACATTAGCAGTCAATTTTAAAACAAAAAGTTAGATATTGCCCATTAGTGAATAAACCCATCATTTATGCATCTGGAGATAACGATCAGCACATACAGTCATTAATTATAATTCTGGGTGCTAAAACCCTTTAACTTGCAGTATTAGTTGTCTTAACTTAGGGAAACGGTTTGGAAACCCAGTGGTGTGTGCAAAAGGCTGTGTGTATGTAGGTGTTTTAGCTCAGATCAGGAATGAATTTTTGAAGTTCAAATCTCGATCATCCCCACTTCTTAACATTGTGATTCACATAACAGACCAGTTTTGGAGAACACAAACTGGATCCTTTTCTCATAGAACTGTGCTACAAAATAAACGTCATCATGTTGCAGCTGCTCATGGGGGTTCAGCCCATGGGACAAGACTAGGACTAGACCCCTGTCCCCATGTTTGCAGTGTTCATGCTGATCCTCAGCATTGTTTCCCTCTATGCATTCACACCTACTGTGCTGTATCTTCTCACTAACACAGTTTACCTTCATCTGTTTTCAAATGTGACTTTAGAGCTTGTATTTTATTTTTATTTGGGTACCAAACTGTTGAAAATCCTGTTGACTTGTGGTTAGGCTAAAACTCCTTTAAAATCCACAGTGCTTCTGAGAATGAATCCTGGGCTCCTAGGGTAACATTTGAAAAGGTGTGTGTGTTACAGGTGTGTTATAGAAACTTTGGTCAGACCATGCTTTGCTCTGCTATTACTTTGATCTAAACGATAATTATCATACCACCTTTTTGTTAGTAGAACTGTAGCAGCCATGTTCATAGTGGGTAAAGTTGAGTAGATGCTGAAAATTTGTTAGTGCCATCAGCCCTAGAGAAAGGAGCACAGCTTTAGAGGTCTAGTTACAGTCATCTAATTCTGTCCCCTTAGTGCAAGCTTTTCTCTGGCTGAAGTGAGAGCTTCTTGGTGATCTAAGCAGGATGCAGAGATGATGACTTCTCACCATCTACGAAAAAAGTAATTCATGGTAGGGAGATGGAAAGAGGATGCATGAGGGGGGCATGGGAGTGGGAGGAACTTGTACAGATTTTGTAAATTTGAGGCACAAATATTAAACACTGAGTCATATCATCACTGTATTTATTCATCAAGCATATAAATATTATCTATGATGGAGACCTAGCAATACTTGGGGGAGGAGCAGTGGAAAGAACCTAAAAGATTGCAGTAAACATGTTTCCAGGCTATGAAATGTTTAAACTTGTGGCTCCTGTCTGCCCTTCAGTACAAATTTACTTGGAAGTTTTGCTCACCTTCTTAGCACGTAGCTATTATAAAATGTATGTAAAACTAACTTAAATGTGCTAAAAATGCACTCAGCAGTTGCTGCGTTAGATGTACAAGGGTACAGGGTCCTTCAAATTTGACCTTCCAAATTCTGCTCTCATTTTTTTCTGCACTTCGGTTTAAAAATTTTGCAGTGCTGAGGTACCAAACAATGGCACAGCCTCTCTTGCAGCCATCAGTTTTGTGTAGAAATGTGGCTTTTTCCATTGTAAAAGAGAGGGAGTAACTTAACCGTTACTGTCCATGAGATACCTCTTAACTTCTTCCATTGTTCTGTACGTGGCCTTTGTACATGGTGTTGGTGCTTGGGATCAGTCACGAAGACTGTGGTGGAATGCTGCACCAGAGCCTGAAAGTCACATTTTGAGCTCAATTTATGTTTCTAGTTAAAATCAAGTCATACTTCAGTGAACTTGCTCAGTTGCCTCCTCAGCTTGCACTCTCTTCTATCCCACCCCAAATTGTTCTTCATGGTTTTTTTTCCTCATTTCTCTCTTCAAAGTGTAAAGACCCTTTTTGTACAAATGGCAAAACTCAAACTTTGTTTATCAAAAGCAGGCAGAAATCTAGAGACAAACAACCAGATTTCCAATGTAGCTACAACTGAATATGCAGCTCGTGCTGTGGGAGGTGGGACTCACGTGTTGCTTCCTAGCAGTGCAGAGTCAAAGCTGAGTGGTGGTGCAGAATAATCACTTCATTTCCACAACATGTTTTGTGCTCTTACTTTCTGACTGCAAGTTGATCAGTCATCAGTCAAAACGTCTTAGTAGACTGAACCTGGAAGTTCTTCTAGCTTCTCCATTTTGCATTTATTTTTGAGGCAAATGTCTTTACGTCTTCGTCATTGCGTGGCATCTCCAGAACTGCTGTTACTTACACAGGGAATCTTGCAGTTTCCATAAGAAACAGAATCTGGTATCTTTTCTGGGTGAATGTTTATAGCTATAATCAAATCCTTTCCAGTGTCTCCACAAGCATTTTTATGTGAATGTCAATATTAATTCTTTTATTATTTTTTTTTTCTGTAAGCTCTCCAGCTCTGTTACTTTTCAGTATTTGGCAGTAGACACGAATATTGAATTTAAGGCTATTGAGAGTGAAGTGTTTCCACTTTTTATAAATGTTGCATTTTGCGTGAAAATGCATGTCTTCAAATTCATTCTTTAAACTGCACATTTTTTGTTTGTTTTTTACTATGTAGAGCAGATCTTACGACATAAGCAATTTTTTATCTTTATGATTTGGGAAATCATGAAGACTTCTGTTCTTCCCAAATGAAGCTGGTGTTTTCAAGAGCTATTGGGAAGTGTTAGGAATAAAAAAATAATAAAAAAAAAAAAGTCTGGTTGGTGACTATAACTGCTTACGCAAAATAAATTATTTGCAATGTTTCACTAACTAGTGTGCTGCAGAATCTAAAGTGATTACATTTGTACAACTTTTAGAAGAATGAAACTCTTTCCTCTTAACTTACAAGAATACTTGAATTTTATCTGTTTAATTTTATGTTTTGTTTTTGTTTTGTTTTTGCTGAAATATATCCTACTTTGCAATGTTTCTATTCTGTAGCTTAGACTAACTTGATATATGAAGTGAAATATAGTCATAGGTGGATGTTTGGTGGATTAACTACTCATTGCTTCTTTGTATTGTTGATCAGAAGCTCTCAAGTTCAAGACAGGTAGAAGAAGAAGATTCTGCAATGTAAAATCTGGAAACTAAGAACTGGAGCAAGGCAGCCATTATACTTCTGAACTTTTATTGCTAGCTTACCAGATATTCTGCAATGAAAAGAGTCCTGTTTCTCTATGCTCTTCCTCTACTTCCTTTGTTCTTGATGATATCTTATGATACCCTGGCATAACAAGAACTTCTCATCGAAACTGGAATGAATTCACACACTGAGAAGTGAGCCTAGTGGGTAGGATCCTTAGTCAGTCAATTAGAGGCACCGAGTAGGGCATTAATGAGTGGCTAATGCCATACCTGAAATAACCTAAAAGTTTGTTGTGTTAACAAGGGATTTGTCATGGAGCTGTAGATCTGGCTCCTGGTGTTCCCTGTTCTACCTGCAACACCCACCTACGTGAGGATGGTGGTGGTGACGGTCTGTACCTACAAAGTTGGAAATGCTGGTAGTTAAGGCCTTCAGTGTATACGCCAGCCTGGCACACTCATTGTATGTCGTTCACATATGTCCCCTTCTCCTCCCAGACCCCTTCAGTGGCATATGTTAACAAAAATGCTTCAGGGTTTCAGACAGCAGAGTTGGAAGAATTTGATCTAAAAATAAAATGGAGAATTTGTGTTAAAATACTGTTTTTGTACTGTTCTTTAAAAATAAAATTGTATGTTTTCCATCCATGACCATAGACACCACCAGGTTTCTACAGTCTTTATGCTCCTGGTTTGAAATACTCTGCACATTTTTAATTGAATCTGAAACACTGAATTCAGCTCTTAAATCACATTGTATATTGTCCTACAGCTACTCTGAAGAGCACTCAGGATGAATTCAACAAGAAAGCACTTCAGACTTTGGAGAGGTGAGTAGGAATCTTGCTGATTCTCGCATTATGTAGTTCTTTGGATGAATCCAAAATAAATTATTTTTTATTTTGTGTGTGTGTGTGTTCAAGGCTATGCTGTCTGAAATGTTGAAAATAGTTCAGTAGATTTCAGCAATGGTCTGTCAAAACCATTCCTGTGATGGCAAAATGTGTTGATTATTTAGTTGATTACTGAAGGTAAGAGTATTTGTTCTGCCACTAAAAGAAATAAACTTAGCCCCCAGTTAGCTGTAGTGAGGTCTACAGTGGTGGGAGATGCAGCTTCATTATGTGGTGCCAGCAGGAGAACGTGGAAGGCTGGCTTTGTTTCTGTTCCTGTGTGAAGTAGGCCTAAACACAAGAATCCCTCTTGGTGGGAGAATACCTTCACCACCGAGCTGTAGGCTGCTGGGGGTCACCTGGCATCAGTGTGCCTACCCATGGGAGCAGATGATTGCAATCCTAATGAATGTTTGCACAAGCTGTTGTATGAAAAGAGCCACAGAGCGAGCAATACAAAGTAGTCAGCACTCTCCTGTTATTCCCCACTGTATTTCGTGGGGTGTCTCATTCAGTCAGTAGCTACACGCTGAAAGTACCTGTGAATTAAACTCCTCTGCAACTACTGCTTCCTCCAGTAAAACTCCTTTGGTAGCATGGTTAAAAACCCTTTTTGTCAGTTCTGTTGTGGTAGAGAGGTGAAGTGCAAGTGACCCTGTTACAACTAAACCACATCACCCAAAATACACCAGGTATTAGGGCAGCTAACCTTGTAAGCATAGTTGCTCAGATGGCAGCTAAATAGAAGCTTATATGGTCAGTCTTGGGCTGAAGTGTCTCATTCTGGTTTTAGTGTGGTCATAAATGCATTGCAAAAAGTGAAGACGATCTGAGATTTCAAAGCTTGGGCATAGCAGGTTGAACATGGTACTGGATCCGCGCTGGTTTTCTGATACTGAGCAAGGGGGAGCCCAGCATGTTTCTCCTGCACTGTTTTTGCAGTGGTTGCAGGAGCAACTGGTAGTGGAAACTTACTTTTGTCAAGCTGAAACCACAAATGAAATTCTGGATATTTACCCCATGGGGATCTGAATGACTTAAAAATGTGTATTTAAAAAGGCATTTATACTGACATTATTTAGATCAGGAGTATACTTAAAGTCACACCAGTTCCTAGACTCCAGTGTAATACCTTCACTACTGCCCAATTTTTCTGTAATTGCAGTACTGCAGTGCTTTTAAACTACATTTATTTTTATCCTTTGACCTTTCCCACTGGCTGTGGCTTGTTTTCATGGTATCTTAGCTCTAGCTAGGAAGCAGACAAGGTTCTAGCCAGAAATGAGGTATTCAAACTTTAGCCAGCAGGGGTGTTGTGACAGTAGCTACTAGTATCTCTATGCCTGGGTTTGGTTTCCTTTTATTTTTCCCCCCCTTGTTTTCCACCTCTTTTTAAAGTAGATCTAGGATTTCTTAGGCTGTGGTTTGGCCTGTAGCCATCCTTATGAGTGGCCTTTTGAGCTGGAGGCTTGGATCAAGTATTTTTCTAATACCTTTTGAGGAAGCAGAACAGTAACGTAATGACTCTGTCTCTTTCCAAAAGCACCATTAATCTCCTCTCCCATACACCCACGTGAACTTTCCTGTTATGTATTGTTGGAGAGAATATTGAAGGTTTCACAGGTGCTGCTTGCAAAAGAGGTGGCTCACCCTACTCCAACAGTTTGGGGCAAAGCTGGATTCTACCTTACGGACTTGTATTTAAAATTTTTAAAAAAGTGGAGAGAAGTGACTTGCCTGTGCTAATTGCACCTGTGATGTATTTGGCATTGCTTTAGAATCCCTGAGTGCTATCTTGACTTGCAGAGTTGTAAGGCACATTCGGTCCATGCTAAATTAATTAGTTCTAGAGCCATTAGTTACAAAAGTCAATTCCAACAGGTTCTTGCTCACAGGCCAAGATGGTATTTGGGAGGTGGCCACCATTAAAATGGTCTGTGATTTGTTTCCTGAAGTAATTCTGTGACTTATTTGCTTGATTGTAATTAGCAAATGAATAGTTTTGGCAGGGTTTCTAACCTCCAGCCTTGTCAGCCTGTCAGTTCTCCCTCATAAAGACTTTGACCACCTTCCCTGTCATCTGGGAGCACAGCCTGCGAAAGAGGTCAGCAATGTCAGCCTGCTGTGAGCGTCCTTTCTCTCTCCCACCTCCCCAGTGTGTGACGGCTTTGCTGTGTGACAGAGCCAGGAGCGAGCTCCATGCATCTGCAACTCCCTGTGGATCCACTGGTCCTGAGCTGGGCTGCCCACATGGCACGAGCCTGTGACCAATGCTGCTCCTAGTTTAGGTCCTCAAAACTTGTCTGCACGTTGCCCTGTTTAAGGGCTTCTCTGCAGGCTGCAGTTTCATGCCAGCTGCCCTGGCTGTCCATTCCTGCTCCCAGCCTTGCTCGTGTGAAGGACGCCCATGCTGGGTGCTGGAGTTGCTGCAGTCCTCAGTAGCCAAGCAGTCTGTGCAGCGTGTCCCTCTGCCTGACATGGACTAGAAGGTAGTGTCTGAGAGGTCCAAATTGGTTTACCAGGAGAAGCCCTAGCTTGAGAAGCAAGGGATTTGGTTCTCATCCAGGCTCAGCTCCTGCCATCAAATCCTCAGTCCTCCTGCAGTGTCTTCCCTTTCCAAATCAGGAGTCTGCTGTCAGCAATTAGACTAGGAGCTGTAGGGTGGAGGGTGTTTGGTGTGTTTGGACATTAGCTGACATCACAGGCTCCTGGTCTTTAGTCTTCCACATGCTCATAGTCACAATATAGCAGAAACAATTACTTTTCAGTGCTAACCCAACCCTCTCCTATTGTTCTTAAAGTGTCAGTATTGCAACAAGTTGGACAATTATCTCCCCTCACCCAAATTACTTAAAATAACACTTAAATAGTTTGTGTCACAAGGTAAGAGCTAATTTTGTCCATCAGATATCTAAGTTCCAAAATATTAAATGATAATTAATGACTGAGCAGTTGTGTTTCTCACACCTATTCCCGTGAGCCTGCCTTATACAGGTGAGCATCAGCGTGCTTTTTGTCAGGTCTCAGTGCACTCTCCCATTACTGGTTGAGTTATGGAGGACAGGACTGGCCTTAGCTCTGTGTCTGTGACTTGTGGCAAAGGAGTTCTGGGAAGTACGCTCTAACACTTGCTTCTTCTTGTGTTGTGTGGTTGTCCTTGAAGAGCACGTGAGTTGGGCCCGGAAGATCACCAAATCATCCTCTACTTGTCGCTGCAGCTGGCTCTCGTCAGACAGGTACGTGCAGTAATTGCCAACCACTGAGGCATTAGCAGGGTGGGAGAAGGGCAGTAAAATTGAACAAGATTAAACGATGCTAAACAGGGTCTCTTCCTGCCTATGTTATAGCCAATATCAATCAGAACACGTTTAAGACTTTATTTTTAAAGCAGTAATTCCGTAGCACATGTAGCCCTGGGGAATGGCCTTCCCTAGGGTGTGCTTTCAGCCCTAACTCTGAGCAGTGCTGTTCCCGCTCCAAGCAACTTTGTCTGGGTAGGGCGGGTGAGAGGTATTTATTCTCGTTCCCTGGGTATCATGCCGTGTCCCTGTGCCCTGCTGCAGGCTGCTCCAGAGGCTCTCTTGTTACTGCCTGGTTCTGTATCACACCGGATCTCACATTCTCAGCTCTGGGGACTGGTTTATTCCTTACTTGGGCACGTTCGGCGTTAGGCTTTGACGGGTGCTGGAGCTCTGCAGCGAGTGGGATTAGTTGGCATTTGAACACTGCTGCGGGTGTTAGCTCATAAAAATCAAACTGATCAGAAAATACACTGTGCTGTCTTATTTCCCTGTCCCTTCTTCTTAAAAGCCAAGGACTTTATTAGAGCAGCCCCTAGTTATTAAATGCTTCTATAGCTAAATTTGAAATTTCATCATCTTTTCCTTCTTTGGCAGGCTTTCTGCTTGCTGCAGTTTTCTCTCCTTAGTCTATGCCACGGAGTCAAACAGTTGGATCCTTCTTACTTTCTTGAGCTAATTAGGAGAGCTGTGTGTTCATTAGGTTAAACTAATTGTTCCAAGGGAGCACACTCACTTTTGTAACCCTTTCATAATGAGAGCAGTGTGTTGTGAGGAAGCCTGCAATAAGAAAGGATAATTAAAATGGCTTATTTAACTTTGTCATCAGCCTACTGGCTGCTTGATAATGCAGTTTGCTCAGGGTCTTTGATTAAAAAATATCCAGCCACCCCTCTTTCTCCCACAGCTTCTGCCTCTTAGGGAGTTTGTCTGATTTGCTGCCCCTTTTGCCCCTTGCCATGAGTAAAAGCATTACAGCTTTTCAACTGCTGTTGAAAATAAAGATTCAAATATTCAAAGTAAAAAGATTTGTGTGGTAATTTTTCTTTCTTGTCTTCACTGTTACTGGTGTACTGCATTTTAACTCATTATCCTTCCTTTTTCTCCAGTCATAGCCCGTCTTTACGCTTCTGTTTTGTGTGCATCATTTCATCATCCCCTTACCCTCCTGTTCTTCCCATTCAGTCTCTTGTCCTCATGTTCACTTCCTTTTGTCTACTTCTCCTGTATATTTTCATCTTTGATATTTTGCCAGTCGCCCCTGCTACCCTAGATGTGTGATCTAAGTCCGTTATGTAGTGTCAGCCTGAGCCCTGCTATGCTGCTCCTGCTCTTCTCCATCCAGTGAGATATAAATCTTTAACGCATGCTTGGAGAGGGAGAAGATACCTGAGACATCTTTATTTTTAGACTGCTGTAAAATATCCTACTCTTCTTTTGCCAGTTTACTTAATGATAAACATTTGGTAATGCATTTTTAATATGCTTAATTATTTAAAGTATCTAATATGTTCTCATTCTGATTAACTGAAAGATAAATGATACCTTTTTTTTTTTTTTGATAGATTGCATTAACTATTAAATGTCACAGGGCTTTCATCAGCCTATGCTGCAGTACCACACACAGTAGGTTATAAGATAATACCCAAACGTTATTCTCAGCAATAGGCATTTTTGTTTCCATAGTCAAGGTCAATAAATGTGAGGTACCTTACCCAACACTGAAACATCTAGGTATCAGCTTGCATCGATAAGAGAATGTTTTTGTGGAACAAAGCAAGAGACAGCTTGACCGGTAGGGTGCCAGAGTTTGAGCAATTTATCTTCTTTGGAAGACTCTGTGAAATGTCTCCGATAGCACTGGTCTCTGTCAGCGCCGGGCACAGGAGAGGGGAAATGGAAAAGCATGAGCTTCCCTCTGACACGTGATGAGGACGTGACAAGACGGGGAATGATTATAAAAAGCCCTTCACAGAGCTGGCAGCCTGAAGGCCATCATCAACCAAAACGAAAGATGTTATGCGTGGTGTTTATGCGTGTGACTGTCTTAAAGACCACCGGCATCACTGGTGGGCAGCAGCAGCTCTCACAGGGTTGAAGTCAGCCCCGTGGCATTTTAGGGTGGGCTTTTCATCAAAACAGTAAACTTCCCCCTTTTGCGAGGAGTGTCTCGGTCTGGTTTTCCCCTGGAGAGGCAGTGCCATCAGGCTGGGGTCAGCACGTGGCGTGGTGGCTCTCTCTCCACCTGCAGGGCCGCTGGGGCTGGCCACACCGACGGACAAAGCAGCTCCCGGCTGCTGGTTCGGCTGCTCCTCCTGTTTCTGTGGTAACAGCATTTGGATCAGCACAAACAAGGTAGCTCGAGCATTTTCAAGCTCACTGATTTTAATGCCTTGCCTTGTTTTTTAGCAGGCCAGTTTCTATGGAAATGACTCTGGAGAGTCAGCGCTCTTGTTAATTTTAAGTGCCGGTTCCATTCTCATTTTGGGCAGTGTTGGCGTTTCTGACCTCGAATGCCATGTAAATCATTATTGGACACATAAAAACAACATATGGGTTTTCGTACCGTTTTAATATTTGATTTGACCTTTCTTTGCATGAAAATAGGAAGGCAAAGACAGCCAGGGGCCAGCAGCTGAGAATTAGAGGTCTCACTTATCAATTTCATCTGTGGGCTGCCAACAGACCTGAAGTTTCAAGTGGCAATATCCAGAAAACATGGACTGCCTTCCGAAGTGTCTGGATGTAAAAATAAGAATCATTGGTTACGAACACCAAAGAAAAACATTTCAGCTGTTTTCTCCGTGGTTTTTATTCTGGTTTCAGGGAGGTGAGAGTGTTGTCTTTACTTTGCCCCAGGAGAGGAGCACTGTTTCCATTCAGCACTACAAATGGGGTTAGCTCTGTTCTCTGTTGCTCCCAGACCAACAAGGGCTTCCTCTGCTGTAGAGCAGCATGTAGCTTTTTTGTTGAGGTCCTAGCCTAGGTTTTTCTGGTGATGAAAAGCAACTTGCAGTAAGAATTAAATAATAACCCAACTCACCGTTTTGTCTGTGGTCGCTTTGCTGAATCTTGGTGGACTGTAGCAAGTTTGTTTTGAATGGAGGTTGTTGCCAGTCAATGAAGCTTTCTCCTTTCCGTAATCCCCATGCTATAATGACAGACAGAAGGAATAGTCGTAATGGTTAATTAACTGCAACTCTCAACTGATTTGAAAATATAAGGCCTGAAAACTCATCTGGATCAAATGCTTATGAGATCCTGTTTGAGTTACCACTCTAAGAATGCAAGTGCATTCTACCATTGTGAATTATGTTTAACACCCATACTGTTTTCTTTTTTATACCTGGAATTGTAACATCCCAGCATTGCTTTTAAGGAAGCGTGTAGCATTACCTAAATAAATCCTATTATAAGAGACAGCCCAGACAATCCACATTGTGGGATTATTTCGGTAGTGCTGCAAGGTGCTATTTCTGCAGTATCACTGCTTCCTGATCGGTGCGATCTGAATATACCCATGTGCCATTCAGAACAGGTGTGGTATATTTATTAACAGAAAGATGAATCAGAGAAGGGTAGCATCATCTAATTGCAGTCCCCACTCGGACTTGCGGTCCAGCTGAAATAAGATTACTTTAAGGCGCAGCACTTGTAGGGAATTTAAGCTGGCAGCCTGCCTCTGATACAGCCCTGAAGTTTCAGAGTGCCACCTGCGCTGCCAGCTTCCATCTTTCTCGTATTACATAGTTACGTAAATAAATAAGCTGTGGCATCTGCCAATGGATTGATGATCTCTGTTTGCACTGCCTGCTGCCAAATATCTTGCTTTTGTTATTCTCGAAATTCAGTTAGAATTTTGTTGCATCTGGTCTGTTGCAGGTTGTTTTGTGTAATGCTTCCTGTAGAGGAAAAGAGTCTCCTGAAAATGTCAAAGGGTATTTTTTCTTCCCTATATTTCATCCACTGTTTCTAATTACACAGCAGGAAAACTATGTAGGCTACTGATGGTGTTACAGCATTAAAGAATCTTTTTGGACTGAATTTAAGCAATCAGGTGTAGGGGCGTATGTTAACTTCCATAACCAGCCACTGCCTGTGATGGATGGTACTACAGGAAGGAGTTGTCTCCCAGCACTGAAATGAGATGTAGCTGTTGCATGACCTATGATAAAGAACAGGGGAAAATTATTTTAGATTACATCCATTTAAACCATATGTGACTGCCTGTTCAGGAAGCACAGGTTTGTAGGAACGACCATGGCTAACTTTTTTGCAGCTTTGTGTAACTTGGCTTGCACATTCACATGCAAGTAAGGTCAAGTATCCTTACAATTTCTAAGATCCCTCAACAGAGATGATAGTTGCAAGAATTACTCTTTATCTGGTTCATGCTGGCAAATTAGGATCATCTTCATGAACTCTGAATTACTGAGTAGAATCAGAATAGTTGCATTTGGAAGGGACCTCTGGAGACCACCCAGTTCAGTCCCTGCTCAAAGCAGGGTCACCTGGAAAGAAGCAGGTTGCTCAAGGCCCCTTCTGGTCTGGTTTATAAATTTGTTTTTGTCTAATGAATTTGTTTTTCCCCAAACTTGGAATTTAGTAATAACTACTTTTGCTGGTCTGAGGTAGAGAAATGGGAAAACTGAGAAGTGTTTTTAGTCCTGAAGGTAATGATTTTGATAGCAGTTTTGCTTTAGCAAGCTGAATTTTTACACCTCTGGTATACCTCCTGAAGTACTTCATAGGCCTCATGTCTGTTGTGTTTCCAAGTAGTCTTGTTGTTGGTATTGTTTTTACATGGTAATGAAAAAGTGTTCCAGGAAGCTGCTGAGGGAACGTTGGTGATTTTGGCCAATATGTTTACCTTTACAGTAGGCTCTAACAACACATGTAGCTCATTAAAGTAGCTGCACTGACGAGCAGTAATTCATTAAAGCTGGGAACTCAGTCATATATCTGAACGGAGGCCAGGACACTCAGCAGTTTTGAAGCAGTGGGCCAGGTGCCAGTTGGGGGTTATATCTGTGGATCAGTCAATCACTTCTCTCCAGGCTTGCATGGAGTCACCATGCAAGTAATAGTGTAGTTAAGGACTTTGGCTTGTTTTATGCACTATAAGAATGAAAAGTCATTTGGGCGTTAGAATGAAGTTGTCCGTTGAGTAGAATATGGACTGTGCTCCCAGAAGCGTGTCTGGGATCTAGATGGCCAACAAACCGTGTTGTAACTGCAGGCAGTGTAATTGCTGCTCTGTTACGTGCAACCTGCCTTCCCCAGGGATCTTTGGAAGCAGCGGGAATTCCACGCTGGTGGTACACCGGGGCAGGAGAACCTCTGCAGAGCTTTGAGAGGTGGGAAGTTCTCACAGTAGGAAAGAAGAAATGGCATTCTTCATCTCTTAAGGGGAAGAAAAGAGGAAAAGAAAACTATACGTTTTTCTGTTTTGTTTGTTGGAGGCTTCCAGGGCCAAACAAAGAACTGGAATAATTTAAATAACAGTAATTTCAAACACTAGAGGATCTTAAGAAAACCTACAAGGAACTTCTCCCTTGAATAGATAGCTTAGAATAAGTTACTGGATCACGAAGAACACGTGATATACCTGTATTCATTATAGATGTTAAGTTTTCTGCCAAGTGGCACTTGATTTTAATTAACATGCTGCTGCTCTGGGTGTCAGGCCTGCACTTCACTTAGCTGCTAGGAAAGGTATTTCTTTTTCTGACAACAGTTTGGATCTTGCCTCTCTTACCCTTGAGTACTCATACTTATTTTTTTGTTCTTGATCATGAAAGGCCCTGTACAGTCTGTGCAAGAGACAAAATGCAGCAAAGATCTGTAATGCTCTCACCCAGGAGAAGAGGCAGCTGCCCATCGTAGAAAATGGAGTTGAGAGTCAGGCCTGTGAAGTGGATCTGCTTACAGCATAGAAATGTCATGCCAAAGGAAGAGGGGATTGATTGGATCAGGACTACTGCTCCTGTTTATAGGCAGCAATTTAGTAATGCTGCAGACTCTTTTCTTTAGAACGAGTGAGTTTTTTCAAGCAATGCAGCCTGTTAGTTTTGGCAGACTGTTCGGATAGAAGTCTTTCTTATCAGATGGCTGAGTAAGATTTCTTCAGAATCCCTAATGACTATATTTGTTCTTACTTTTGGGAATGAGGTATAATGCAGGACTGAAGGAGATATGTGTTTTATTTTTATTTCTACCCCATCTCCTCCCAGATTTCTGATGCTATAGAACATCTTCAGGAAGCATTGCAGCTGTGCAAAGATGACATGAATTCTCTGCATCTACTGGCCCTCTTATTTTCAGCTCAGAAGCACTATCAGCATGCGCTGGATGTTATCAACATGGCTATTGTTGAATACCCAGAAAGCTTTAGGTAAGAGTTATTACACATTCTCTTATATGGTGTGATGCATCCCATCGGGAATGAGCTGCTCACTGGCTCTGTTGTTCTCAGTTACACACATCTCAGAAGCCTCTTAGATCAGGTATGCTACTGGTAAGTTACTCTGCACGTAGGCGTACTGTAAAGCTAAAATGTGTAATGCAACCATGATGCTGTCTCAGGAATGGTTATATAATTCGATAAAATTCCTGGATAAAGAGAAACAAATTGTGTATTGACCATTCTTTTGATTCTCATCTATGACACAATTTGCTGCAATAGCACAGCTAGGGAAGAAGATCATTTGAATATCCCAAACTGTAACACCATATAGCTGAAAGGATGATATGGCTCTCTAAGACCAGGTTTGAACCATCATAGACTTCTTGGAGCTGGAATTTTCCACTTTTTACACTACCAACACTCAAAGATAGCTAAGACAGAGGTGGATAAGGAAGAAGAAACCTGTTATGTGAGGAACAGAGTATTTACTGGGTCTGATCAACGAACTGGTGCATCAAGTCCAGGACCTTTCTTCCAGCACTTGCTGATAATGTGTGTTTTGGGGGGCAGTGTCAGAACAAAGAAAACATATGGTGTTCACAGTCAGCTTGGGTACTGTTGAGTGAGTTTCTTTGTGATGTCTTCTGGCAATCTGATTTCCCCAAAGCAGGAAATAATCCCTTCTCTGCTTCTCAGTGCCAGTCTTCATGTATGGAAATAACTCTCCAGGAAATGGCTTCTGGGAGAAGTAATTAATATTGGTAATGGTTCGATGAACCACAGGTTCATGCTTACACCTTGACACAGACCTGCTAGAGCGTGTACTCTTGAAAGAACCTGTCTTTGTGTGTTGAGTGAGCTGTGGTACGTAACACAGCTGGCAAAGGGGCTTCTTTACAGGTACAGAGATATGCGGGAGTAGGGGCTGGCTACTTGTGCTGCTGATCTAACTAGCCTGTTTCTGTATGGGTCTTCCTCTAAACCCACCAGCAAATAATTGATAAGTAAGAGAATGGAGGAAGAATATCAGAGCTGCAAGAAAAGAGAGAGGGGGGAAAAAGGAATTTATAAAGAAAATGAAGACTAAGAATCCAATGGCCAGGTGGGGGTGGGAAGGAGAATAATAAACACATCTACGGTTCTGACTAAATATTAAAACCATTCCAGACTTTCTAGAGGTCTAAAGTGCAGCTTATGATAGGAGGATTTTACTGCTTTATAAAACTTCTTTGAAGGGAGAGAGACCTGATGCTATTACAAAGCTTATTACAAGGCTTTACTTGTTATTGCCTTGAAGGAAAATTGTAGTAAATTTTACTACTGCATGGAATGACTACAGAAGACTCCAAGTAAATAGTATAGACAAGCTCAACTGCATGCTTTCAAAGCTATGTTTAAAATTGGTTGAATATTTTTCCCAGTTCTTGTTGATATGAACTAGGCAGCTGCATAATCTGGTGCCTTGAGGGTTCCCTTACTAATGACAACTCTTTTTGGAAGCATAGTTTGATGGCATGTATCAAGAAAAGAAGATGAAAGCTGCCTTAAGGGATCTCAGGGCACTATAGGTGGCCAAAAAAAATAAAATAAATGAAGTGTTACCTGGATGTATATCCTAAACAAAAGAAAGAATTAAAATTAAGGCCTTAGCTAGCCCAAACTGCAAACATCTACTCTTTCTTTGGTCTCTTGCCATATATAACTAAAATGAGTTTGCTCCTGCTTTTTTGTTTTTGTATTAAGTTCTTTCATAGTATATTTTAAAGAAATAATTACTCAGGATGTCACATAGTTGGTTAGAGTGGTTCAAACAATTGGAAAAAATCACTGCATTGCTCAGCTGACATGCAACATCCTTTGGTGTGAGCCCCATAAGACTGACCCAATGTATCCAGAAGTGCCATTTGTTGAATGAAGTGTTTAAACTTGCACAGACTGGTTAACAAAACCTACCCTGTTATTTGCCAGTTTATTTTTTCTATTCTGGATGGCCCCCTGTTAAATTAGAACAATACAATGTTACAGCATAACGTACAGCAATTTCTGATCACTGCCCAGTGTGGCAGTGAATGTTTTATTAAATGATCACCTCTTTGTAGCAGTACAGCAACTCGGGCAGGAATCATAACACTTTTAAATGAATATTCATCTAATACTCCTTTTCTTCCCACGCTATAAGTCACTACTGTGTGGCTTGCAGAGTTTCAAAACTAGTTGTAAAGAGAAATAACCCAGCCTTTCGGGAAGCACTGCTGTTCTACGCATAAAGATGAACAAAGAGGCAGGTGGGTTGTGTTACTGTGGTTTGAGAGCAGCAGTGTCGTTGTCAAATGGAGATGCTTTTGTTCTACTGAGGTACTACAAAGTACTTACTGTAAAGGTAGTGCAAAAAAATCAAAAGTCCAAGAAATACTGTACATGTATCTTGGAGACCATCAATAAAAAGGAAGTAAATTTTGCATGGAGAATTGCATGTTCTGTAGTCTTCTCGATGGTGGTGCAGCAGAAAGCTTTTTGTTTTTCCATCACTACTGCATTAATTTCATTAAGGGCATGAAGTAATCTTCTGGCAAGATTACTGGTTCAGACTTGCTGTGAGCAGAGCTATTGCATGGTGTATAAGCAATAGCATTTTCCAGTGACAACGGTACAGCAATGTCAGGTACCGCTGCTCACTTATAAAATAAAATAAAATTACAATCAGGATCTCAAAATGCATGATCAAAGTGGCATGTCCAGTTTTTCTACTACTTGTGAGCTATTGTATATTGAAAATAAACAATCTATGCTTGTTTTGGGCAACATCTTCAGGGGCAGTGTTGGGGTAGTACATATTGTTGACAGGCAAAAATTAGAACTGTCTTTTTTGCCTTTAATCTTCGTGGGGAATGAGGAGTCAATTTTCCCTAAATCACTGGTGTGCAAACCTTTGTGTTACGCCTAGTCTGTACTACAATTTTGTGTCAGGATAGTTGTCGCCCCCGCTTAGGTCTATACTGCAGAAAGGTTTTACCACTATTCTCATGGAAGTGGTGGTGGCCTCACTTAGCTTTAGAAGTGTGGCCTTAGAGAATCAGATCGGCGATGTTTATATGACTCCAGCTCATCATTATGCAAGAGGCAATGAAGCCTGGTACATCTTGTGAGCAGTCCTGGTGATAAAAACAGCTTGTTAAAATTCTCAGAATATTGTATTGTATTCTGAACTCCTCAAGGGTACAAGGCCTGGGGATCTAAAGCAACAATAAATTAATATTTTGGCTGTAGCATCTGATCACGTTATGCAACTCTTATAAATAAGATATTCAGAACTCTGAAGGGTGGAGCTTCTGTAAGTTGATGTCTTGTAGTGATGAGTTCACACCATGGCTGGTGAGAGTGACCCACAAATGTTTTTCTCTCTCTATTATGCCTTGAACAACAATACAGAGTAATAAAAAATGGGAGTATGTACTTGGGATGGTGGGGCCGAGCTGCGGTACAATAATACAAAACATACTAGGCATCTGTGAGTCACTTAAACAAAAAAAAGTATTATGGGAAGTTAGAAGGCTTGTTTGGAGTTGTTTTTATTTTGCTGTACTAACCGTGAACGGTTGCTTTTGGCATGTTACAATCCATTATTTTTTTGTATAAAATTAAAAAAAAAAAAGACCACAAGTGATTGAAATAATCATGACTATACTCCAGCGAACTGGTAACAATATTGGGTATTTCTATGACAAATATATGAAGGGAAATCTTTAAGCTAGTCTTCCGACTCCTATTCATGATAACGTAGGCACTTAAAGGTTAAGAAAAAAAAAGAATTATAGAAATAGATATATCATTTTTTACTATTTTGGATTTTTTTTCATAATTTTGGCTTTTGGGGGGATTGGTTTCTGTTTGTGTTTTGCCCTGGATGATTTGAGATAACACCCACAAGGTCCTGTACTTAAGAGCATTTTTTTGTGTGTGTGTAAAAGCAGGAGATACCATAAGGAAATGTCAGTAACTTTGTGGTTTAAATTTCAAGCTGAGATGTTGTGGGTTTTCCTGTAGGTTCCTGCTGCGTATATGTGTTCGGGCAGTTTTTTGACATGATGTTGGTTTTGACATTATGTTTAAGGCTTAGTGACTACAGATAAGCTGGAAGAAAAGGACACCTTTAAACCACTTTGCGAGAGTAATAACTGGCTAACTTCCTTTTTGATCATAACATTTCTTTGCGTTTATTTGAAGGGTCAAGCCTTAACAGAATATGTTCTGACCACTCAGCATGGGTGCTTTGTGACGGATCAAAATGTCAATTCTATATCCCTCTATTTGCAATTTACTTCTTGCCGTTGCTTTCCTACCTGGCTGGAGGAATGGATGCTTTTCGGTTCCTGCTGGCTCACTTCAGTGCGTTGTGCATCCTGCTTTATCAGTGAGTTAGTCCCCCCCACACACGCTTTTTTTCCCTGCTAAGTGTCATTTTCTTTGGAACAGCTGCAGGGTGTTCTGTTTTATATTCAAAGGAAGTGTTTAGGAGCCCTGTCTGTCTATGTTGAATGCCAGAATATATTGGAAAATAACACGTGTGTATTGACTGGGCAGCAGTGAGTCAGGTTGCCACCAGAAACACTGCTGGGTGGAATTTGGCCATAGTGCTTGCATACGTGGGCGAGGAGGTGACTCGGTGCTTGGGATAACTGTGCTTCTGCTAGGCACTTTTCGTGAACTCGAGGCAGACCCGGTTAATGGAGATCAGAGGGAGGACCTGAGGCATGCTTACTGCCTGGAAATCAAACAGAGAACCAAGGGAGGATGGTGGCATCTGTGTGAGAAGCCCAACTCTGGGCAGCCTTTCCTGCTGCCAGGCTGCAAATGATGAAACTATTTACCAGCAGCATCAGGCATCAGTTTCTGCTGGAAAACAATGAGAATCCTCCTGAATGGAACTCTTTCAATGCTGTTTTATATCCATGAAGGAGGAAACAAGATGCCCTCACTTGGCTGTTTTT